GATGGGCTTGTGCTTTAACTCTCTTTATTCGCGTTTCCAAAATATATTTTAAAAAGTCACCATATTAGGAGTTTTTTTTGTCAAGTAAGATTTATCGCAACATTTGACCTCGGTGTTTCAAACATCCTGGTAACGGCCCTGCATCGGACACAAAACAATAATAAAACCGCTTCTGAACACGTTAATTAAAGAGTTTGGCATTTCAGTGTGCTTACACGCGCCCCAGGGTGCGCTCGTGAGGGTTTCCCTAGTGCACGTGTGCACAGCTTTTTTTTTTATTTTTTTACCCCTCCACTAAACGGAGGGAGTGACAGAGAGCAAACAGAGAGAGAGAGAGAGAGAGAGAGAGAGAGAGAGAGAGAGAGAGAGAGAGAGAGAGAGAGCTTCCGCCTTTAGACTCTGAGACACAAAAAGCTTTACTACAGTCAGAGAGGAGCGGCGGATGACAACAGACTCCTCTGCTGTCCATCCAGAGCAGAGGCTCCCAGCGGCTTTATGGGGTTCAGCTTCTGCAGGAAACAAAAAGATGCTCTTTGGAAGAAAAGGCAACTTTCTCTGTTTCTGTTTTTAAAGTGGAGGTGGATCTCTGTGTGTGCGCGACTGTGAGGAGGTGGGGAAGAAAAAAACAAAACAAAACAAAAAAAAACAGTAAACCGGCGAGTGAGTCCAACAAAGTTGCTTCGTGACACGAAAGAAAAAAAAGGAGGTTTTTCACATATCGCATCTGCTCCGTTTGATTAAAGACCCCGAGAGACGAGGTAAGACAGCCTATAGCTGCTATAAACTGATTATTGCAGCTGGATGTTGTTTTGTTCCACTTTTACCAGCAGGAGCAGTTTGAACTGAGATCCTTCAAGAATAAAGACATTATTCAAAGATGGTGGGAAAGTGAAAGAATGCGAGGAATTTTAAACGATCCTTGAGTAAATGTTGTTTAACACAGGCTGATTCATGCATAGTTCTTTTAAGATTGAATCAGATTTATTCCTGCAGGGCAAAATACAACCAGTCCTGTTTAATTAACTGTGCAGTTTCTCAGTCATATTCAATTTGGATTTGCAATCCCTTCATCCACCTAACTATTATTTACATATATTCTCATCTAAAAATCACTTTTAATTATCCTCACATAAGATAAGACAATATAACTGGAATCATTCATTATCCTATATAATATAAATACTTTGCATTTGTTGTCAGGCTTTTTAGGCACAAATTGTACTAACTTGCACCATAATAATTTGATCAATCACTTGTAGTAAAACAAAAAAAAGTTATTTTTTTTCTTTTAAATTTCTTCATAATTCATTCATAGTGATAACTTTTCCAGCTATATTCTTCTTATATCATTTACAGCTGCTTATTATACAAAATAATCATGTAAAATTCTAATCCATTTCCATTCATTTAACTGTTCAAAGATGATTTTCTGATTAGTGCCTATATACAACTAATTATTTGGGTTTTGAACTTAAGTATTTTCCCCCTGAGCTTTAGATAACAGGATGAGCTTAGAGTGTCCCATCTGTTACGACTGTATGGGAAATTATTTTCTTCTATTAGTGTGTTAAGTTACTTATCAAAGTGGCTGAATTAAATATTTTTTTGAGTAAAGAAATACAGATTCGTTAATAAATCATCTCTTTCTACCCCTGTTGGCTGGTTAAGTATTATTATTACTGTTCGGCATACATCTACCGACATGAGCTTTCATGAACTGTTTTGAGTTAAACACAAATCAGACAGGGCATACATAATTTGGTCATCTGCTCTAGTATAGCAGCAGATTGGAATAAAACACTAACACATTTCTATTTTTATTTTGTGTTCTTACAGTAAAACAAATCAGCATGGGTTATAATCGGCAGGTCAGAGCTCATAGTTAACCTGAAATCTGTATCAGGAAACACCCAATTCCTGCATCTCTTCCATCAGACATTTAAAAGACACCCACAGATAAACCCTGCCCATCATCATCACTGCATTTTTTAAAAACCAAATAACTTTTTTTTTATCCATAACTTGCCCGCTTGCGTAGCCAGGCGAATGGCTAGTAGCCCGACCTGCTCCAACTCCTAGCCTGATGAAACAGGCCGATCTGAAGTACAAATAACCCTCTGCAGAGGTTAAAGTTAGCTCAAAGGCATCAGTGTTTGTTTTAGTGGCCTTGAAGTTTGACTTAACTGTGCGATTTTATTTTTTTTAAAGGCACGGTCAGGATATTTGTTTGCTTCTCTGTTTAATAGCTGTTGTTGTTGGACTTTCGCCAGCATGATAAAATGCTCTTTCTGCAACTTTCATGTTTTTTTTTTTGTGCCGACATAATTAAGATGTGACAGAAATAGCTAAATAAATGTTGATATCTCTTTAAAATGCCATCATGCTCTCATTCCTGTAAAAAAATAATAGTTTTAGTTGATGTGGTTGTTGTTCCGTCCTTCTTTCTCCCAAAACATCTCCAGATGTGTGATCACCTGCTGAGTCAAATGGTTGGAATTTATTTTTTCCACCTGCTCTACCTTTGTGTGGGAGAAATGCGTCCACTTTGCTCCACTCTTCAGTGCCAAGGCTGTGCCTCATGTGGTGTGGAATTGGTCCTTGGCTCTCAGTGCTGCTTCATTACGCCCCCTTTGTTTGACAGAAAGTAAATCAGCTACTTCTGCATGAAAGGTTCAGAACAGCCAAGAGCACCAAAATAGCTTGTATACACCTCTCTTTCCATCCTGTTCACTTATAAACCTCTTTATTTATTTTTTATTTCTTTGCATTTAAAACATTAGCGACAGTTACACAAACAGAGCCAAAAATATTAGGTTGTGTGTTGTATAAAAAAAAAAAAGAAACACTGATGGCTATCAAACCACCCAGGCCTCTCAGGCTGCCTTTCTAACTGCGTCACTCCCCCAAAAAGGAAATCCCTCATTTGCCCCACAGTTCGTGACCTGATGTCTTTACTTATTGGGAATCAAAACATTTTCTTGAATCCGCCTCCTATCAGCTCTGAGCACGACAATAAAACTGGTTGCTTCAGTGAGCCCAGAGTGTAAAAGATCTGCAGAGATAAGGGCTTCAGTTTGGTTTCGCCGACTGTTCTGATATATAAGGTCGACAGAGTGGAAAAAAGCGGTGTCATTTAACTCTTATAACATTTTTTATAAAAGAAGTATCTTCTAAGCCCATATATCTTTGGACAAACACTATTTGCTCACTGATTGGCACGAGAAATTCAGCTTAATCCCGCATCTGCCCAAGCTGCTGATCTTTAAGTGCTTTCTTGAGTTGAAGCCCAAATATCTGAAACGTGTTGCTGGTAAATAAGGCGATGCATTCTGCAGGTTTTTCCTGCAGCTGACCATCTGTGCATGGAACGCCAGCTTTAACTCATCCTGCACAGTCGAGCTTATTTGCATAGCTTCTTCACAGCAGGACATGATAAAACAAGTGATTATACAGCGTTTAAACTGACCAATACAGAATAAAAATACATAGTGAAACATATCCTGTAGTTTACCTTCATGTGAAGTCATTTCCTGAGGTAAAATGTCTACTTTAATTTGTAAAAGGGCTTTTTTTAGTTTTTTAGTTAGTTTAGAAGAAGAAATTGGGATGTGTATGATTTAAAAGAACCGCTGTTTTCTGATCAGATGCAGCAGATGTTCATAAATGGAATTCCTCAAACACAAAATCCATATACGTTTTTTTTTCTCTCTTCTGTTTCTTCCTCTGTTTCAGAGTAACTTATTATTTATGTGTCTATTTTTCTGCACATCTCTGCCTGTTTTTCCTCTCTGTGTCATGTGCTTCCATGTGTCCATCGTTCTTCCTTTTCACTGTTCTTGTGTCGCCCTTTAGCTTCTGCTACAAAGCAATTTCAAAGCAGTGAGTTGAAACGGGGTAAAATAGGGTATTCTCATTTTAAGGGTTATAATATTTATTTAAATATAATTGGACAAATAAAGCATTTCAAGACAACTATTCTTACTTTTGCAAAGATTGTGCAATATATTGATGAATATATTAATAGAAAAGCCCCATTCTGGCTCTTCCTGGATGACACAAATATTTGGTTTTCTTATGCTTAATTTAATTTATTGTTTATGAAGACCTTTTTTTTTTTGCCATCCATTCTTAGGGCTTCCATAGCTCTGAAAGACATCAGTTTATTCCTTTCTGTTGCCCTTTAGATTAAGGTCACCTCAATGAGGGAGTAATTGAACTAAAAGCCTGTTTTTAAAAGTTGCGATCAGGGCTGAAATTAAGGCAGCAATTAACGATTATTTTGCAAATTAATTCATCTGTCGCTTTTTTTTGTCAGTAAATTGATCAATAATGTGATAGCGACAGGTTCCTTAAAGAAGATTTTTTTTATGAAATTAAAGCAGGTGAAACTAAAACTTTTCCATTTGAGGAGTTCTTGATGTAGCATATTGACAGATGAAAACATTATTATTTTATTTTAAATGCAATATCTACAAGCCCGTTTCTCCTCGTGCACGTCCTTTTTAAAATGTGCTGTTCTCATAGCTAATACAAGCTTACTGTGTCCACATACAGCAGGGACTATATAGTGGACTCTGTAGAAAACTCAGTTAACTGACCAACAGATGATCACTGCTTTGTGCTCCGTTGGTCACGTTACTCCTCCTCCTCAGTATGGTGCCTGTTCCAGCTTTGTTAGTAGGCAGGCCGCTGTGGCATAGTGCTTTGCGAGGAGAGCTCTCCAAAGCATTCTGGGATATATCTGCCTCTTCTGAGGCCTTTATTTTCTTCTTATACACTTTGTAGACACTTTTTCTCTTATTGCCCTCGGCACTTTTCAAAGAACCAAGATGAGAAAGGTGAGCTTCAATGACTGTCTGAAAGCGTAGCTCACCACACATATATGTCTGAAAGTGCACGTAGTACGGCCTTAAATAAACATATCACCAGAATGACTGACAATCAGGAGGACCACTAATTTAGATGATCCACCTGGAAATAAAAGATTGTCCTCTTTACCTTTAATCGACTATCAATTTAGGTAATCACGATTAATCAATTAATAATTGTTTCAGCCCAAGATGTAATTACATGTTTATTAGCATTTTGATTATGACACATGAGAAAACAATTGATTAATTGGAATTGGTAGAAAAAAGATCAGACTAGATATTTAATCCAGCCTTACTTGTTATTCATTTTTCATATATGGCCACTACACCCACTGTTACAACGACCCTAACCAAAAACACTGCTCTATATGGTATTTTGTGTATAGAAACCGTTTCAAAATATCTTATCCTGCAAACATTAAAATGTATTTTGTGTTCGACTGCCTATTCATTTCATAACCAAAAAAGAATCTATTAAAAACAGAAGGAATATTTAAGCTCTATAAATGTGAACAGCATCTGTCTTTAATTTAAACGATGGGTGTTGTTTTATTGCAGAGATTTTCTGGCTAGTGCTTCTAAATTCTTTTTAGGGTGTTCCTGTTGAAATGTCTCAATTTGGGGCCAGAAATTCTGACTTCTGTGTACAAATGGAGCCGTCACACAACAACAAGGAAATTCTGCTGCTGTAGCTGACAGATGGAACCGTTTTGAATCCAACAGGAAGTTAAAGTGTTAATAGACTCCGACAAAAAATGGGATTTCTTAGTTTTGATGTATTTAATGGTATGGAAAAAACGGATTTTTCAGTTTTTGATCAGCTGACCAATGTTTAGAATCAATTAGGTTTTTTTCTTCCCTTTTTATCACTTTTAATGATATTAAAATGTTTCTTTAAGCATATTTACTTACATAAAAGTGTTTTTATTTTAGTTTTTAAGGATCTTCTTTTGCATACCTGTTGGGAAAAGTGCGGTATAGTTAAAGTGTTATCAATTGAAAATGGTGCAAATTATCCATAAAGTAAATTTATTCTTTCTTACAATATTAACGGTTTGTTGTTAAGTTTATTATGGTGTAATAGAAGTATATGACATTGATATCAGCTGGGTATTGGTCAGGCTAGCTGCTCTTAACCAAACTGTCGTTGGTTGCTTAAGTAAAATGTTATTTGATGTTAATGATAATAATAATAATGATAATTGAACTTTATTTATTTTACATGGGAAAAATTCACCCTCTGCATTTAACCCATCCCCTTGGGGAGCAGTGGCTGCCATTGTGTGGCGCCCGGGGAGCAGTGTGGAGAAAAGCGTCTTGCTCAGGGACCCATAGTGCAGGCTGTGGGGATCGAACCGGATACTTGTAACCTTCTCAGAGCACAAGTGCACTGCTCTAACCACTAGGACCGGCTGTTTGTTTTAGACCAACTGAAGTGAGCAACGTTTTTTCCTCCAGTAGAACTTGTCCCCTGATTACTCTCTATCTGCCATTTCTTTTCCCTTGTGCTCTTTTCACTTGATGAACTTCTAGCTTAAAATAACATGTTCTGATATCTTATTATCAACAGCATCTCATGAGTAATCATTGTCTGCGTTGCACTTTTGTTTCTTTTCTAAAACAACTTTTTCCAGTGACACCTGTTCCAGTTTAGCATATTTATTAGTTAAACAGAATAAAGTGAATTTATTCTTTCTGTTCTTTTCCGGTGGTCCCAGTTTCCTGGCTTCAGATCTTCTGTTGCTTCTCGGATGCAGAGAAAACCCTGAGCTGTTCGGCAGGCATCCCTGGAGCTTCAGGGGACATTGGCAGATGTGTACCCAGCACACAAAGCCCCTGGCCTGGCCGTGGGGATGGCAGCCTCTGCCTTGAACCTGAACGGCCTTGGAGTCATGAACAGGTACAAGGACTGCCGGAAAAATGTGTAACATTAACAAGTCTTGTTGCTCTGCTAAATAAGAAGCGGAAAGACTAGAGCAGAGGAATTAATAGTTGCTGAAATTTTGTTTTTTTTTTCAAGCTTTAAACTGTAGAAGATGAATAATTTCAATCAGACTAGACTTGTTTTATTAATAACAATACCATGCAATGTAACTTTTGACCCTATCTGTGGTTTTAACAAAAAAAAAAAAAAAAAAAACCCTGTCATGTTTCTCTTCCCTCTTCAGCAGTAATCAGTTTCACTCCCAGCCAGGGTCCTCTAACGCCGCCTCTAGAACAAACGCCGCCCCAGTCGGACGACCTGTGCTGCCGGTTCCCGATCGGAGCACCTACTGCCCGTTACTGGGTGGAAGCCTCTACAGCCCAACGAGCCCTAAGGTAGCAGGAACAGCGCATCCATTTCACCTGGAAACAGTTCATGCTATACAGCAGGCGGGTTTAGAAAAAGGATGCCGCTAAGTTAGATTTCTTTAGATTACCCACGGTGACTTACTAAAGCTGACTTGGCTGAGTCTGTGGTAAGGGGTTTCCTTGAGGTTAATTTCAAAACATTATATTTTCTTTGTACAGTGACTTAATTGTTGTAATTTCTGCAATATTTTCTATAATAATAGACAATTGTGGGACAATAAAGGGATTTTCTATTCTATTCTATTTATTATGGAAACCCATAATAATAATAATAGGTTTTACGTTGATTTACCCTCTATAATGAAGTAGAACATTTGATTTTTCTTTATGTTTGTTACTATATTTTAATATATACCTAGTAGGGGTAAAATGACACGTCTGACTCTGAAGATGTGATACAGGGTATTAGGTTCACCAGAATTCAAAGGGTTGAGATTTTAGAAACGTTTCAGGGCAATCTAAGAACACTTCTTTATGTTGGTCCTCAAAAATAGTCTCAAAGCTTCACAAACAAAAAACTTAGTTATAAGCACTGTAATCTATTAGGAACTATTCAGATTAACTTTTACACATCTGAATATCAACTGAGTTCAAGTTGTTTTAAACAAAATTCGTATTATTTCCAATTATTTCTGATGAATATCAGTTGCAGTAAGTATTCTTAATTAGTGTGTAATCAGTATTAAGTGTCAATTAAATTCTGCATTGATTTTGTAAAAATATACGTATTTTTTAATGTTGCTTTACCTTTTCGCACAAAAGTAACATGTTTTAACCCTGTAATGCCAAATGTATCATATCTGATACATACGGTTTCTGAAATGTTTTGCTCTTGACACCTTTTGCATAATTTAATGGTAAAAACTTTGCTCAAAATTCTATTGTACACAATCAGTTATACCTGATAACAGAGGGCAGAAGACTACACAAAAAATAATCTTGACTTATCGCATAGTAATAAATTATTAATATCAAAAATGTATTTCTGTTTTTTCTTTTTACATATTTTTTTAAAAGGCCAAATAAGGACTTCAAACAAAAAAATAGTAATTTTCTGTTTTGTTTTATTCTTGGATCGGGCTTTAAAGGATTAATATCTTAGATGGAAATATATCTTGTTTTGACTCGACAAATATGTGATGCTGATTTGGTATCATGAGATGTTACTTCACTCTTAGTTTGCAGCGATATACTTCTAAAATATATTAGTGGCTTTATAGATAATAATAAAAAAAACAGTATTTTATTTGTGCAAATAAATCCCAAACCATTTCAAAGAGTAAAACATTTGTTATAAAAGCATCAAAACAACTGTAGCTTGTTGCAAATGACTCCTCATGTCTTATTATGTCCCCTCAGACAAGCCCCCGATCATTTGGCCAAGCCTTCGTCTTCCCCCCCCCTCCAAATTTGCTCTCCCCCTGCGACACAGCTCGCCCTCGCTCTCCCTCGCCGCGAAGCCCGGAGCGCCTGGGAGTCTACGTCGGCCAGCGCATCCGACGCCTGAGCGGGGAAGACAGAGGGGACGGAGACGCGCCCGAGGAGACGGGAGGAGGGACAAGAGGAGACGAGAGGAAGCGACAGGAACATCTGCTTCGGATTCACAGAGAGCTGCAAAACGTTGAGGTGATTTTTTAAACTTTCTATGTGATATTTCTCTTCATATGATCATTTAAGCAATTCTCTTTTTTAATGGTTTGATGAAAACTCCAGAATTAGTTTCTTTATTTTAATCTGATCAAAAGCCAGCTCTCTGTTTTCACCCTAACTGACCTTCATTCTCTCAATTGCTTCTTAATTATTAATAAAAGCAAAAAAAGTTATTTTTTAAGCATGGATAAAATATGGGGAATGTTGTTGGGTGAAGCTTTATAAAATATAGACTTTTCTTTCTAGTTTTTGGAAAGCATGACTTATTGTGGCGCCTTTTTCATCGAGTAATTCTACTTCTCCATTTTGCAGGAAAACTATAATTTAAGCTCCTATTTACAGTTTAATTTATTTTGTTATATTTTTACACACTGAACTAAAACAAATAAAAAAAATGGACAGTTGAGTCTTTTAACAGCGTACATATTTCCTTAGCATGAATGCACTAAATGCTTATTTATTTACTATTATACTTTATTTACCAGGCTGGGATGATGTTCCATTATACCATGGTTGTTACGGGCAGCGAAATGTTTGGAATCATAATAGATATTTATACTAGAGATATTTTTGTTATTTCTGTCTTTTAGGTCAGAGGAAAGGTGGGCATATTCGAGGCCCACATTTCTGGGATCCGGGCCCAGGTCCTTAATAGTGAACTCCAGCGCAGCCCTCGACCGACCCGACGAGCGACTAGCCAAACCCCTTTGTCTCCCAGCAAAGGAAACGCGGTTCTTGAAAATCCAATGACCCACCCACAAGTGAATAAAGTACCTTCTGTTACACAAAATGGCAGAGAGGTGGAGGAAGGAATGACTGAAAGAATAAGGAAGGAAGGGGGAACGGACACGGGCGATAAGGACAGCAGCTCTACAAAGTCAGACGCAGAGAACAAGACACCGATTGATCAAAATGACTGCCTGTCGGAATCAACTGTTCAAAATCCCTATATGGAAAAACGGATTATTCATGGTTCACCTGAAGCCTCAGAAAAACACTCAGCTACAGATGAGCAGAATAAAGAAAAACTGAAAGAAAAGGAGGAAGAGAAGGATGTAGAAAACATAGAAAAGGAGACAGAACGGACAAACAGAGACGATCAGTGGCAATCTAATGTGCTGATTCAGACTGAAGGAAAAATGTTGAATGATTTCACTGAAACCACTGCTTTACCTCAAACACAAAACAGTAACAACGTGAAGCTGAGCTTGCTGGAAACACCCTCCATCCCTGCTGTCATAGTCACTGATCACGGTTTGGAGGGTCTGTCTCAAACTACTGAAGGCTCAGGCTCAGAACGGGGACTGTCCCGATCGCCGAGCCCCAGTTCCAGCCCTGTTCCATATTCCTCCACTCGCGCCCTCAGGAAGCTGTCCTCTTCCTCTGCCTCCTCAGCTGGTTTCTCCTCATCTTGGGAGGAGTCAGAGGATGATGTTTCCAGTGATACGGAGAAGGGAGAAAATCTTCTCAACCCTGCACATCTCAGTTCTCAGCAGAGAGCGGTAAGTAGACGAAAAGTTTACTTGCTTGTTTCCTTGTGGAGTTCCTCAAGGATTTGTTGCTGAGGCCTGTACAGCAACTACTTTTATCTTTATGGAAATGAAACTGTTTTTTTTTTATTGTATTTGAATTTTAGATGAAGAATAACTACAACTAAATGATAATGCAGGAATCACTCCATCAAGCTGCAAAACCAGATGCATAATAGACAAAGACATCTAGACTAGAGCTGAGACAATTAATTGGATTATTGAAATAATCGTGAAATAATTTAGTAATCAATTAATCGTTAACTGGAGTATAGAGACTCTAAAACATGTCTTTAGCTGACAGAGAAACCCACTGAGATCAGTAATTATACCAAGATTCTTAAAAAAAAATAGAAAAATGTTGCATTTAAGATAAAAAAGAAAAGTTTCGTCTGTCAAAATGCTCTATCCAGAACTCCTCAAGTGAAGAAGTTTGAGTTTCACCTGATTTAGTTTCATAAAAAGTCTTCTTTAAAGAATCTTTGGCTATCTAACAGAAAAAAATAAGAAAGATGAATTGACTGGCAAAATAATTGTCAGTTGCAGCCCTAATCTAGACAGAAAATCGCCCTCAGAGCAAAGAAAAAAAACGTATGTAGAGGTAAATAAGTAAAGCTATTATCTTAGAATTTGTTTTAATGCCATAGTGGAGAAAAGTATGAGGTAAATGGTCTGGGGTTGAACAGTATTAGGGAATATTAAGTATTTGTGGTTCAGGCTCATTGAAAACACAGAATCCAACTTAAGAATATAAAATCCTCTTATTCTATCTAACTAATTTAATAAGAGTCTTTTTTTTTTAAATAAGAAATACAAATGGCATTTGGTAACATCTGCTGTTTGGGTAAAGGGACAGTTTCACCAGATCACCGGATTTCCAGCTGTATCACTGGCATAACAACCCAGAATGCATTGTTCCCATTTAATTTATTGCAATCCAAGCTGTTATTTTGTTGTATTCATACTGTGTCCAGTGATGCTGTGACAATGAGAAAGTTGTGAAACGTTGTGCAATCTTAAATGCACTATTATTGCATGTGACCTCAGTAGAGGTTTTGATCTGGTGATCCTTTGTTGCTCCAGTTCATGCTAAACAACTAGTTCAGGATTCAGTTCCCCAGGTTGAAATAAACCAGTTCATGTTCACAGTTAACCAGAGTTCAAACAGAAACACAAAAATTTATCATGTATTATTTGAAGTAAGTTTAAAAAAATACATAGTTGATGATGTTATTTATTAACCAGCATGTAGAATTTGCCTTTGCTTTATTTGTAATCCACCTTTAATGTTTTATGTTCATCTTTTCTCACGCAAAAAACAAAATATTGACTAAAGAGAAGTTAATTAAGACTTTGTATGTATTTGCTGATACCGTTTAGGCCGTTTAAACTTACTGCATAGTCAACACAGAGTAATAATGAATAACTGGCAGATAATGAAAGTTTAGATTTTGACAGATTTAGATACTTACTGCTGTTTCTAAATGATTATGTGGCCATAAAAGCAAAATAATTCAATGTGGTTTATATATTATAAGGTCTTAAAGGAATGAAAAAGCTTCCCCTTTTCTTTTTATTTCATTTCGGATTAATCTTGATAACCTACATAAATCATCGTAGTGTTATCTTGGCTACTTATTTCTACAATGATCTGGGAGAGAAAATCTGCTAAATGTAGCTGCAGCTTCTCTGCTGTACTGTTTCTCCTGCCAGCAAACATTACAATAACAGAAAATATGCTTAATTAGTTTTTACTTCTTCAGGTGAAATAATAATCATAAAGGTGATGCAAGAAGGTTGAAAGAAAGAGAGGAGATTTGTAAAATATACGAGTCCTTAAAGATGGTAAAAATAGAAGGCGTGAGTGTTTCTCTGAAAAAAGTGAGCTCCACTCGGGAATGTGTTCATGCACAACAGTGGTATTTGGTATCTGTGGTTGTGCCTGTTTTTTAAACTTTTTTTATATTTGATTTTGATCTTTAAATGAAAAGAATGCATTAATTTAAATTAATTAACTGTGGCCGTCAATGATGCAAAATACTCTAAATACTGTTTAAAAAAGAAAACCTCTATGAAATCCCATTTTATTTCACTGAAACACATGATGAAATGGTTCTATTTTGCATGTATTTTTTGGTGTCAGGAAACACGTGTTCGATTTTATTATTCTTCTGCCTCAGCTGGTAGCAGATTAATTACCAGGATATTTTGTATTTATTCCCTCTTTTTGACTTTTTTTGACTTTGTTGATCCCCTGATCCTTCGTTTTGTGTGTGTAACCTTTTCTTAACATTCTTTACCCCTGGTTTTGAATAGAAGGCTTTCTGCAGCCTTTTTGCTTAGCTAAAGAGGAAGAATTTAAGCACAAACCTGTTCCATTTCCATTGTAAACATTGTTTCTGAGATTCTTGGAAGTGCATTTTTTTCTTTTACTTTCTAGAAAAAGTTTACCATGACTTATTTGACTCGCTGAGTGAAAAGCTGCTCCTATCAATCTGTTACACAACTCATTTACTGCATAAACCAGTTAGATTTATCAAAGATTTACTAATCACATCCCTAAAGCGTTTGTACTTGCTTGGAATCAGGTGAAATAAAGCTCGATAAATTGAGGAAACTGCTACAAAAATCCCTCCACTGTAGATATTTCTGAATTACCCATGCATGTTTCTGGATGCTTCTGCATCGAATGGCCCTAAGACCTCTGCCTGAGTTACCTCACTGCTAACAGACCTCGCTGTGCGCTTCTTATGTCGTTCTGAACCTTTGTGAGATGGTGCAGATCATAAAACCAGGTGAAGGTATGAGGCTTACACATAAAGCTGCTGCATCTTAATGCAGTTTAAAAGCCGGGGCCTTTTTTTTTGGGTATGAGGTGTGTGGGTGGCAGCTTTTTACGAAATCATTTCACTTTCTTTCGAACCTTAAGGAAGGATTGTCAGGCTGATTTTGCATTCTTTTCCATAAGTAAGAATTTATCCTTTTTAAAGAAGTTTCCTGAAAGACTGCACCTGAATCACACCTCTCCACTCGCCCTGCTGTTGTATTAGTTATTTGTTTAAATGAATTCGGGTTAAACATTTGAATAGGGTTTGTGTTGTGTTTTGCATATTTCCATCCATTGCTTTTTTATTTTTATTTTCTTATTCATCCATATAAAACTGGCCGTGAATCTCTAATATGTGACTGATTTTTGTCTTCAGCTTGTTACAGTTCCTGATCTGTACTTTTAGGAAATCTGATGTTTGTGTGCAAGAGGCAAACGTGCAGAAACACATAAAGCATGCTTGATCGTGTGGGAGGTATGTGGGAGAGAGGAGAGGGACAGAGAGAGGAGGAGTGATACAAACACAGCGAAACTGAATATGAATTTAGCTTCTGCAAAGACTGACAATGAAAAAAACATTTTTATAGTATTTAGCTTAGAGTAAAGACAAAGAAAAACCGAAAGCAGCTTTTTAAAAAACATTTGTCATAGTATTCAATGCTCCAGGAAGTAGATCGATGTTTTAACGTTGCTCTGACACAGCTATAAAAGCAGCACTGTGAATGAAACAAGAAAACAGAGATTTTATTGCAAGATGTGGGAAAACATGCAAATATGAGACAAATGCAAACACATTAATCACAGCTCTAAATAGATGCTTTATCTCAGCATTTCTATGCATTTGTTTTATAAATCTTTGCAAAAAAACAGGCGGCTCAACGAAAACGTCTTTGGAATAGGTTTAACGACGCAATTCATTTTTTATGTTTTTGTTGTTTTATAGGTTAATTGAAGGCAAACTGAGATATTTGGTGACAATTTTCACCATCTGGCATCTCTTTTAGAAGTCACTCAGGAACATGCTGGCAGTTTATTCTTGTTCGGGTAATTCTTGCAGCAGAAAGACACCTGTCACAGATTGGCATCAGTATTTCAGTTGGGCTTTTGTGGAGGAACGGATAAAAGCTGCTGTTGCTTTGGTGAGATGATAGCAGAGTTTTTACAGCTGGGAAAGGGTCTTCAGGAAATAGAGCAGCAAAGTAAAACATTAGAGAGGTATGCGGATTAATACCTCTATTGTAGAAATAAATACAAGCTGAGGAGCAGTTACAGAGCCTTTTAAAAACATGCATTTGTATTATTATTATTACTATTATCAATGAATAATCTTATATCCTGTAAAATATTCAGTGTCACAGAGACACAGAACCATGTTGGCGCTCTCTCAGTGCCGAATGACACTGTAGAGCATCCAGTTAACCTAATCCTGTCAGAATCATGTAGAAAACATGCAGAACTAACCAGAAATTGTGTAAAATCTGTGGATCTTTAGGGGCTAAGCAATCCTTGCAATGTGTAAGCGGGTGTAAAAGCTGCTGTGAGGTCATGTTTAGAACATTTCTCTAAACTTCAGTAAAATGTGGAAAGACTGCTGGTCTTGGTCTTCCTTTTTCACCCAATGGATGCTTTCAATGCTGCTTTTATTTTACGATTTTTTTCCATTAATACAACCCTTGATAATTAATATTATTTTTTACTTAAATTTGGACTGGAAAAATTATTTATATATTTTCATCACCATGTCCTTGTGTCTAATTAACTGGAAGAACTGTTAGGAATGCCATATGTGTTGGGTGAATTATTGTGAATGTTCCGGATTCATGCTTTGCATTGTGCAATATTCAGCCTGCAGGGTGGAGATCATCTGTGTCTGGAGCACAGAGAGGAGGAAAGAAATTAGAAAACAAAAATAATTTAGCTCTATTGTTTTATTAAACATGTCACAAACATCTCGGGATAATTTGTGTTGGATTTTTATTTTATTGAACAGCTATTTTGACTATAAAAAGCAGGCACACATGAACTATATTTATGTTTTGCTTTTTTCCTTCGGAAGTACATAGTATAGGTATATTATATTTGGATAATCAC